CCCTGTGGATATAGGCAACAGTTGTATAGTTTTTTTTGCAGCGTCGTGCTATGCGGGCTGCAGCTTACTGTAATTACAGGCGCAAGCAGCTGGTGCTGCTGCGCTAGGTATTCCGAGGCTCGAAATGAGCCTGTCATCTCCAAGATGAATATCCCAAGAACGTTACGCACCAGACATTTATCCGAGGTTCTCTGTTATGACGTCAGTGCGAGGCTGCGTGGGGTAAGAATCTACAGGTCGTAAAATTCCTGCTCCTGCAACGGGAGGCTGGAGAAAACCAAACAGTGAGGATAATCCGTCTGTCTCTGGATGGGGATCAGCAGTTTCGGCCTTTAAAAACGGACGAATTTGTTTAGTGACTGACTCTGTTTGTCAGTAAGAATCTCGTTGTTGCAAACATTCACAGGCCGATGTGAGCTGCACCAAAATCTGTTTCATCGTCGCCACGTTCCTCGCAAAATAATCAACGTGTCGTCGTGTACCTGAAAGGCTGTGCGCCCTAGCCGTTGTCGAGAGGCCTGTCAGTGTCCTCCCCCGCCCCCTGTCATTTGCATAACTGCTCATTGCGTCGTTGCTGACGGGCGCAGAAGGGCACACGCGCCCCCCGTTTTTGCGTGTTTCGTGGAAATTCTCTCGCCACAAAAGTAAACACAATCTTGCGTTAATCTCCACAAGCAACTTGCGACGTCTGGTGTGGCTAAAGGTTTTGTGCAGATCTGGTCAGTCCGCCCGCCGAATGGGACGTAGCAGTTCCCAGTCTTCGCCGACTACGTCGATTCACGCATCCAAAAGATTAATTAATAAATAACGAATCAAACGGCAACTGAGAAAATCGTAGTTTCAGACAAGTTGAACCCGAAGATTGATTGCCGTGTTCAAAACATCTCGCCACTGGGCCCTGTCCAGAGGCCCGTGAATCCAGTCTGCATCCTCACATCGTGTCCTCAAGATCAATTTTAATATTATTCTCCCGTCCACATCGATTTTCCTTCAGGATTGTTAACGAAAAGCCCTCGTGCTTGCTACGTGCCGTCTTCGTAAGTCAAGCTGATCGCGTCAGTCTGTAGTGTTTAATGACGCTCCTCGTTACGCAGTTTCGCCTCCTTTCCCCCTCCCCTCACTGCCTTCCCATTGCAGTCGCCGTCTTGCCCCACGCAGCTACAGGACTCAAATTAACACCAAGTTTGGTCATATTCTGTTACCTTGATCAACCAAGAGTCGCGGTGACAAACACTTCTTACTTTGCAGAACAGAACTGGATTAATTTTTGTAGCAAAAAAACAAACAAACAAAGCGGCTCTCTTGAAGTGCCGATACTTACGAATTTGAGATGGTTTGACAAAACGCCGCGAAATATAACGTTTGATCAGAATGATTCCAGCTGTTTCAAAGGAAATGGCACAGCACGAGAACTAATTTTGTTCTCCTGTCCCGATAAAGTAATTGGCCCACACAAAGAAAATGCATTGTGTTCGTAAAGTGTGTCCACTTTTCCCGTCTATCTGCGTTTACTTAACGACACTGTCAGTAGCTTAGGCTGCGATAAGTTGAATTAATTTGAAAGGATGTAAAAGAAAAGGATCGTGGCCTAATTTAAGGCGAGACTGAGGAAAATCACGAAAACCTTCAGTTCTCAGGACCGATATCTGAAAACGTGTAACTGGAATCTTGTGGACCTCGAAGCTTCAGAACAAATTAAAATGACGAAGTTCCACTGACCAGATGAGACACCTCAGGAGGAAACCGATATTTGCACAGGAAGGCCGAAAGTTGCTGAACTTAATGTAAAGTGCTTCTCGTGTTCAGTGTAAGAACTGATAATCAGTTTGTCGTCGTGTATGGGCCGGAGGGGCATCAAGAATAGAATTCATGATAACACAACGATCATTTACATCTGTGGCTTCGACAGCCGAGCCGGCATGGATTGACTGAGTCTGTGCTCAGAAATTACTTAAATGATCGTGGGTAATCAGTCAAAAATGCTGCCGAAATACAACTGCAATGACGAATCAAAGTTCGCCAGTTGAAGCCAAGGCTACGAAGTCAAGCGGGGATTAGAATTGCGAGAACATAACTTAATTGCGCATTGCTTAAGAGGAGAAGCAATGCGCCGTCAGAATCCGGACGTAAGGAAACTTTGATCCTTATCCTTGCCATGTAAACTGCATTTAAATAAGGCAACACAACCTCGAGGTTTCAAAAGTCGATTTATTTCCCAACAACGGATATGTAAGAAACAAGTATTGTACTTCATCGCAAACGTATGAATGTTGTAAGTTTTAAATGCCTTCATTTTATCTTACAGGAGCTGTAATTTCTCTAAAATATTACGTAGAATTTTTCTTCACTTTCGTATTGTTTTGAACTGTGATGAGTCTCATGTATGAAGTGGGGAACATGAAGTCAGAATTGGATGTTACGTTTTGATTGAATATTTAAAGGAAAGAAATCGTCATAGTTGACTTCTTTCCTGATCATTTTCAAGGACCGTCGACCGAAACATATTCGACTGTGTAAGCTCCGTAACAGTGCCTACAAAAAATACTTTAAGAATTAAAAATAAGGAGCACTTCGCAAGAACATTTCCAACTAAAACGGAACGCGATTACTCGGACGTTATAAAGAACGATGTCATGTTACAAGTCCACTTTAAGGACCTGTCAGTTAATCGCGCAGGACATGGGAGGACTTCTCAGAAGTGGCTGCGTCCCCTTACTGAATATGGACAGCAGAATTCTTACCTGAGCTTTGTTTGCTATGTGACGCGGTTCGAAGCAGTCGGCTGTCCCATGACGTCAGAGCGTCGCCAATTCTACTCCGGGCACCACACAGCCAGAACTGACGCTGGCCGCTGCGAACACGGCTGTGTGGCGCCGCGCGCAGGCGCGTTGATCTTGTTGCCATGACAGTTGAAGGATCACAGAGACGGACTGTTTATCCTGTGGTTTCTCGTTTGCTGCTACTGAGCTCGTCGGTTGGTTACTTAGGAGTTACTTTGGAGTTCGAACCCGATAATCACTTAGTGGTCAATTAGGTCGGCAGTCAGTAGATTAATTGGTTGCTCAGTCGTGAAGACCCGTCATGCAACAACTAATTTATAGTATCTTAATCCGAGGTCTCTCGGAGTTGTTTCCAGACCACGGAGAATTCGAACACACGCCTTCGACGGACGTGTCCCCCGCGTTGGACGAGGGTTCAGTGTATACAGAGGTACGGTGAGCAAAACAGTATCTCTGCTCCTCGTTTCATGGCGTTTGTTCCGTCAAACACGAAATATATCCCTCCGAGGTATTAAACAGTTCGTGAGACAAAAGGTGACAGGAATGAGCGAGGCTGGAACCTGCTAGGATTGTGTTGTGACTGAAATGACAAAGCTGTGATCCACTGCCCAGTTTCGAAACAAAACAGATACTTATCTAGGCCGCGTTGCTATCGCTTAATGGCTTTCTATTGTTCCAAACTGATTGCAATGAGCCCCGCCCCTCCGAACCCCAACCCCAAATACAGAGCTTTCAGGGAAAGGTCATTTTGAAGAGCTCGGCGATGCCCTGGACTCAAATCATGCAAAATTAATACTTTTTCTGTTCGTCACCCGTGTGTGCGGTGGGCAAAGGGGCCGCCACATCCCACTGGCTTCCCGAAATGTCAGGTGGCATCCATAAGCACCACCACAGGATATTGTATTTCTGAAACAAACACTTGGTCACAAGTTCAGTCTTTTGGAAAATCCGCAAACTTGTTATCGTGTTCACCTATTAATAAGCCAGATTAATCCGTTTCACATCGTTTACCAGCGAAGATGATAAGCCCTCAAATCATGTTCTTAAACCCTCCTCCGACTCCTTTTGAAACACGCGGTAGAAATGTTACTGTCAGTGCTGCAAAGACTCGCTGCTATCACCACGATACATTCTCTGTTATCTTATTGTTCCTGCTGCACTAAATAAATTTTCTGATAAGCATTATCAAAACTCACCAACAAACCCTTCCTTGACAAATATTGCACGACGAATGAAAATATGGGTCTTTAAGGACTTCCGGAAATAAATTCTTTTTAGTCTGTTACATTCTGTTTGAAAACTTGTATAATCCTGCAATGACATTTCCAGAATACTCAAGATCACATTCAATGAACATAAATTTCCTGACGTGATTCAGTGCATATCGTAACTCTCAAACTGACACTACTAACTCCATGGAGCAAAGTCCTTCTTGAGAAGCTGACAGTTACTCAGCTATCCACACATATCCCATTTCCTTCTACAAACAGTCTTGGGTATCTTCCCCCCACCCTGAAATGAGCCCCGTCCTCCACTCACTTCTGTCTCGTGTGTTAAACAGCCTATAATTTAACTTTTAGACATTAAACACACTCAAATGTAAACCAGCAACCACAAAGACACATGAAAGCAGGACTACAAAACTTCTGTAATCATTAAGTGCTCAAATACCACGTTCACTCCCTTCAAACTTCACTTCATCTTTCTGCGCCTTAAACGAGCATCACAATTTCCTTATCAAGTGTTTCAAGCTGCCTGCCTCTTCAACAAAGCACTGGAGAAAAAACTGACCGAAAGGCAACCTCCTGGGACTCCACACTAAACAGACCGACTACAGTTCCTCTTCTACCTCATCAACTTCCTTCCCTTCACTTCTCAAAGAGGCTACATGCAAAGAATTTAGCCATTCAGCCCTCAAGAAACACATCAACAACCAACACTGGGCTACACACCCAGAAAATCCACGACTGCTCTCTCCTTGTGCCCTCTGAATGCTACGTGGCTAATTGATCCAAATGAGCAACGTGCAACTCACCCAGAATGCAAATTCGCTACCTGTACCCTCTTTCCCCTCCATCTTACAGAACAGACGCAACATGCCATTCCCCTGAAATCACGCGTGCAAAGAGAACTGACAAGACATCTCAGAAAATGCGTGAACTTCAGGGTGGTATGGGTGGAAGCCTTAAGGACCACAAACTTCCTTACAACAGCGAGTCTTCACACACATCAATTGTCAATTAGATTAATCATAACAGGAAAATTAATGGGACATCACACACCAGAGCTCCTGCACCGAGTCTGCGCGATTCCCTCAGTTTCTCGAGCAAAAATTAAACAACTAGTGGAAGAAAACACCTCATTAGAACACGCCTTCCACCCAACCACTTCAACCTTATGCCTACATCCACCATCGCATGTCTTCAATTATCTTCAAGGTAGGCACATTCTGGGAGTTTGTTCTACAACAATTCCTAAACTTCCACGCCAAACGCCCACTGCATCATAATACGCTCGATAAAACACTACCCGCAATTCAACAAATCCTTCCTTATGGGATTTACCCCACCTTCAGTCAAACACACTGTGCTCAAGAAAGTATTCAGGAAGTCATGCATGAAAACGCTCCTTAAAATCACATGACTCCACCTGCAATCTCCACAAATTTTCTAACTACAAGCAGATTCATTTTAACACCTAATTCTAAAAACATGCTTAAAACACTGCCCGGGAGAAAATTCTCACAGTACCACAAAATGCGTAGACCGGCGAATCTCCGGTTCTTGCATCGATTCTGCTAGACGGAAAAACAAACACAGTTTCCGTGATTGGTCTGAAGGTTTGCAAACATCATTAACCTCTGTCTGTCTGTTTCCTCACACAAACTACAGACACTGACAATTTAATAAGTGTTTGGCAGAAAAGTTTTAGTGTTTTCCCTCCTAAATCTCCAAATTAGCACACTAAAATGAAAGAATTGCATTTTTTTTTCATTTCCTTCTTTTTAAAGAAAAACCATGCCATGTAACTTAATTTAATTTTTTCCTCATTTGAAACAATTAATTATATTTTAAAATTCATGTGATTTTAAACACTGTTTTCAGTACAGTTCCAGTGCTTTGCCGTACCCTGTGTTCGAAACACACGGCAGAATATTCATTAGGATCGAGATTGAAACTTTCTGACCTCGTGGACCCCTTCAAATGCACAGTAGTACAGCAGAAGTGTCCCACATCCCAACAATAAGCAAATCTTCTGCTGCATTAACAACTTGTGCCAATCCTATCTCTCTCCCTCTTGCCACGCAAAATCAAGTTTCCATACACAACACCTTCAATAGAGTCTGGAGAAGTTCGTGCCTCACAATTTCCAACAGACTGACAGCATTCATTGTCGCTGTCCAAGATCAGAAATGAACTCCAGCATTTATTATCACTCCATCACAGTGCATTATTATCTTATCTGTGATCTGTAGAAGAAAATATCTGACATATTTTCACAGAATGTCACTGATCAACAGATGTCAATTTATCTTCATCTCTTTACACCCTTTTAACATAAGAGCACAGCATATTTTTAATTACATCATCCTATTTAGATCACGGTCATTCACTAAATCCTATCCTATATCCTAATTGATGTTTCTGAAGGTGTCTTGCATCTGTGATGTGAGTTACATGTAGAGCCAATTGCAGATTAACCAAACATTAAGCTGAGAAACACAAAACTGAAAATGTTTCTGCTTGTGAACTTTTCTTCATTTCCCATTTCATCATACTTGTGTCCAAACTTAACAAAAATTATCTAAACACCCCCCCCCCCCCTCCAAACAAACACTGAAGGTCAGCTCGGTAATACAAAACCTTCTCTGATTTTGCCGGTTCAACATTCTGTCATTATGACGACTGGGTTTCTTGTAGTTCTCCCCGTGAACACAAGCATAAGTTGTTACTGAAGAGTAACTTACAAATTGGCTTCAGCCATACTTAACTTCCCTATCCTTACGTAACAAGTCCTTCACCTAGCTGCCATTCGTCCCCACTCGGTACCACTGGATCCATGTCCAGAACTCACAACAGTCAGTACTACCACACTCTACAGAGGCCTACTACATCACGAATGCCCCCACCTACCCCTTTCGCTTCTCCTAGCCACTGTTTTATCTGCTCCTCAGATTCTCCATATCATTAAGACAGAGAGATGGAAAGAAGCTGACCTCTACTCTAAACTATGTGAGAGCCAAAACATTTCCATGACCTCCTTCCGAGCCATGTGGTCACTAAAAGAAAGTCTTCCATCACTTTTTCATCTTACCATGTGGCCATTAAAATCTTTTTTCATCACATATTTTCCTGAACCATGTGCTCACTACAATTTGGGTGGCATCCCACACCTCTGTTCTCCCATTCTTGTCCTTAAATACCCACTTGCCAACAACTCCCTAGTCTAGCTAATGCTTCCAGACTACCCCCAATAACCTCGACATATTCACCCTGAAGATACCAAGTTTACCGAAGCATTGTAAAACTTGCATTGCGTTCTTCTCTTATGCTGTATCTATAATTGGCCATCTGGCTGTTGATGCAGCACACTAATAATAAAGAACTGAATGGATGTTATTGTGTAATTTTATCATATTCTAATGTGAATAATTATAATTATTATTAACCTTAAACAGAGTTCATAAGTGAAGTTTAGAATCAGAAATTTCTTAATCCTGAATCCATAACCTCACAAATACACATTTTTATTTCAGTGACATTGACCAAGGTAGAATAAGAAATGTTGTTCAATCACACCAAGACTAACCAGTGCAAAAGCTGAATAAGTTTATTAGTTGTATAACTGCATTAGGCATATAAGTTTATTACAATTCAAACAATTTAAAGATGACTGACTTCTGTGATGTTTCCGGGTAGTAATGTAAACTTTGACCGACGTTTCGAGGTGTTTACTACCTCCATCATCAGGGCGATGAGTAAGCCGCCTGATGGAGACAATACTTACGTAACGTCTGTCAGTTTGTACCAGACTAAAAAGAGCATCCCATAAAACAGTCACCTTCATGCTTGCCATAAGTAAATTAAATCTCGCATTTTACTAATATGACAACTGCACCAGATAATTCTTGTGTTAATTCGGAATATCATTATTCATTTGTTTTCTTTTCACATGAGAAGTGAACTTCCATAAGGGTACACAACATTGAAGTGATATTGTTCTTACTAAGTGCTTTTAATTGTTAGGAAAAGTGAGGATTATAAGGGAAGAATGACTCACAGATACTGAGAAAATCTCTGGATTATAGTACCTTTAAAGTGTGTTTGTACTTGCAATATTGTTTTATCCTCATCCAAATTGACATGTGACATTGTATGTGTTCATATTATGTATTATGTTGCTACCATTGGTAGCTGGTAACCGGAAGAGTTGCGACGTACAATTATCATTACGCATGCGTCGACGGAAGTGGGAAGCCATCGCCCTAGTTAACGGTAAGTGTTGAAAGATTTACTTAATTTAGAGGTATTTGTCATATGCACAGTCTTTTTCTGAAATTGAGAGCCCAGAAAGTTAATTTACAATAATGAGGACGAGAATGTCGTACCGGTTTTATTAAGAGCAAAGAATTACTGGTGTTGAAGACATGGCGGTGTAATCAGTGTGATAAAGGGGAGTCCAATGTTTCAAGCAAACAACTTAAGTTGAAACCCTTGCCAACGGAGTAGGATAAGACCTTGGAAGGTACTGTATTGTGTTATTTAATTGCTGGGTCAATAGTGTTTTATGATACACATTTCAGTGCCTAAGTGACTAGAGCTAAAGCATTTGAATTTGAGATCTGTTTCAATGTTGGAGTACTTTATTATGTGTGTGCTGAAGCCATGTCCCTTATTGCATGTTTCTTCTGATTATAAATAATTGTGGTTTTTAGTGCTGGACTCATTTTCAAGTGTTACTTGACTTATGGCCTAATGAATTTATTTTCATGATTTGCTGGTTGTCTGATTATCATGATATGAACTGAAATCTAATGAATCAACTGCCTTTCCATTACTCAAATTTAACATTTTGTTAATACTCAAAAGACAATAACTTAAACCTATAATAGATGGATCCACACACAAAGAAAGTGATTTCTATTCATTAAGATTTGTTTGATTGTCTTTGATAGTTATATGATACTTAAAGGACGAGCAGTATCATATGTGTATTTTGTGTGAAATGCAGTTACTAGCATTGCTGCATATACAGCTTAGCTCAATAAACTATATCTGTATTATATAAATTCTTCTAGTGCTCATATAGACTAATATTTATTTACTGCTTTTAATTTATTTATTGCTTCTAACATCAAAATTTGCATACAAAGTATAGGTTATGATGATAAAACAATTGAATTATTAGCATCTAAATTCCTTAGCTTATAAATTGATAATAACTGAAATGGGAAGAAGCACACTAAGTTTGGCATGCTTTGACGTGAGGACAGTCACACCACTTTAAAATAGATACTTTAAAATTATCTTAATTTGTTTATTTCCATTCCATCACATATGGAGTTTCCTTGTGGGGAAATTTGTTAGAATAATGACAGGTGTTAAAAGAAGAGTCTCTTGCAGAGCTGTATAAGAACTTTGATATACTCTCTCTTGCAAGTGAATTATTACTCTCTTTACTGTCATTCATTTGTGGATAACACAGATAAGTTTCTAACAAATAATGACATATGTAGTATGAACACAGGGCATAAACATGACCTCCATAGGCCAAAAGCTAACCCCATTACTTACCAGAAAGGTGTGTACTATGCAGGGATTAAATTATTCAGTACTTTTCCATCACTCATTAAAAGTCTAAAATTGTGGTATAAAAGTATTTAAGCCAGTATGAAAAAGTTATATTTTATCTCACTCTGTCTATCATATAATGTAAACATTTATGTAAATAGCTGAGCAGTGAGAAGTTGTTTTTATATTGGCATTTTATTTGTACTGAATGGTTTATATTCATAGAATAGAATGTTACTTATTTACATTATATACTGTGTGCATATTATGACCTGTTCTACGTCCTTGACTTGTACTATGAAGGATATATTGAATGTGAATAAACTCTATTCTTTTCCTGCTTATAATGAAATTCCAGGTTAGTTGAACATTTTTCTGTGTGGACCAAGTACAAAGCACATAGTACATTTACATATTACCAGCCAGTCTTTTACTGCATATGTGAGCCTGTGCGAGCTATTACAGATTGTTATATTCCTTATAAATGAAGAAATATATTTTTATGATTTATCCATTGAATGAAAATACTTCCCAGTTCACTACTGTTGTTTATATTACAGTAAATGTTTTTATAAGAACAGTGTAATTGAACATGGTATTAATGTGTGAAAAATCTTTGACCACATTATTTTCTAACCAGTTGTGTTAACTGTAAACATGTAGTGAAAAGAAATCATAGATGTTGAATACTGTTAACATTTTACCTTTTGCTTTTGCACTATAGTTGGGCTTTTATGAAATATGTAAAAGAGTACTAAGCATTTGTGAAGGTGATCTTAATAAATTAGATGCAATCTGTGGGCTGCATTAATATGGCTTAAGACCAGTAGCAGGCTCTTGTGGACATTATAATGAAATAGGTTAGGTTCGTGTGAGAGGTCAGACTTATGTGGATTGTTCAGCTGTGTAGTGCAGTCTTGTGGGTTTATACCAACTCTTAGGAGGCAGATGTTGGTGTGTACACCCACAAGACTGTGTGATACAAGAACTAAGAAGACCTCAATCTCATTGTAAAGAAAGGAATTCACTGTTGGCTTCTGAGGAAGGATTGCTGCAAGCAGTTGAAAGGATACCAACTATTTGTTACATTTTTGTTGTAGTTACAACAATTATTTCCAGGTCAGATCTAATTTGTGAGTTGAGACAGTGTTACTTATGAAATGTTATGTGAAAGTGTGCATAAAATGATTGTCATAAGACTGCTTGAGGGTCCATTTATTTGTCTGAGATTATGTTTATGTATATGTATTGTTTGAATTAATTAATTTTTATGTGATCACTTCTGTCCAGTGTTAAGGCCTGAGAATGTGTGCAGCTTTGTCGTTTTGTGCCTCGCTAGCATTCAGTTTTGTAATGGCAAATTTTATAAACAATTATGTGATTTCAAGCTAAATTTTCTGGTTTATAGGTTTGTCATTTTGTTAGCTTTACTGGTTTTCTTAGGTAAATCATACTTAGACATATTTGTTACAAGGAAATTCTATAGACACATATAACATTTTAATGGTTGTTTGATTGAGTCTGAATGTTATTGATGCCATGAAATTGCAGGATGAAAAGTACTGGGATAACTGAAAATTCTTTGCCCCATCTTCTTTATGCTGTGCATATCCTTCACTGTTGAAATGATAAAGGGGCGATGATGTCACAGCTATGATGAATCAGAACAAATAGGGAGTGGAGTTGAGGTGTGGTCCAAGGGTTCTCAGTCCATAACCCAATGATGTTTCTAAAATGGCCTGTGTACATTTTTTGTAACATTTTTGTCTTGTTTGTTGCAAAACGTCTGGTTTCTGAAAAAAGTTTGATAATGTCATCAGTATTTTGCAGTAACAATTGCTGTGAGATACTTTTGAACTCGGTGAAAAGCATGAAATCAAGAATTAGGACATGTCTTGCTTATGGGTACATGGAGGACACATGTTGCTATTTTAAAGCATACGAGCGTGGTGTCGAGATGGAAATAATTGTTCAGACTCGTACTACTTGTGTTACTGCTAAACACCTTTTTTGCATAAAGAAATCGTAAGTTGCCATGTGCAATATGCAGTGTTGCAGCTTCGCAGGGAGATGTATTTTTCAGCTACCCAAATACAGTATTTAGTTACTCACTTGCCAGATTTCATGACTTACGCTATGTCGTGGGCGTGGAATCGGGGCTGAGGTTATCAGGCGCAGCATTTTATTATCTGGATCCAGTAAATAGTTTTATTTAAAGCAGATTTATATTTCCAACATTCCCTGTGTTTCTATCTAGTTTTTTGCCCACTGTGACTTGCTCAAAGTTTGAAATTGTGTGTGAGAATGATTGTAAATGATTTGTGGTTAGCAATCATCTTGACTGAAGGTATCAGCAAGGCGTAAGGGAATAGGAGATTACACAAAACTAAAATTAGTATGCAAGGAACTTGTCTTGTGAGGAGGCTGGCATGTTCTGAACCTCATCAAGTGCTGCTTGGTTATTCAGACTGAGTGAATGTACTGAACATGAGATGAGGCATGACTGATGTTATGTTATCATGTTGCTTGCAGTGTGTAATCTAGTCCTTTCTGTTTGATGAGGATTAAAGGGCATGGTACTCTTCTGAAGACTCTTTAACTTGTCCGTTATCATTCATGGTTATAAGCCACAGCATAATTTATTTTATTTGAGGGGGTGTTTACCTTACAGTAAATTTATGTCTTCATATTTTTACAAATTTATTACGAACTGCATGATGCGAATTTCAAATTGGGAAGTGTCAGTAACCAACCAGTAGAGAGCAAAAAATTTCCTCAGACTCATGGTCAATTTAATTGGCCCTTTCTGGAAGCGAAGATTCATTACATGGGAAAAGTGGGCGTACTCAGCCTTCAGTGTTAATTCTACCAGCGCCGAGCGTCATATCACATCTTCGTATTTGGAAGGTTCCGGGTTCAAATATCCGCCCCGAGACCGACTCTCTTAATCGACGAATTTCGAGTGTGATAATGACGCCACTGCTCCAACATCCTTCCGATGTCACCATAAGCGTCGTCCCACTTCACGTGGAGTGTATTTTCGAGCGTAAAACTCGTTGAAATTAGTTGGCCAGCTTTGAGATTGGTTTACTTTCTCTTTTGGAGGCGTCATAAGACGAAGACCACTGAATGAATGGGAGACGGTTCACAGTTGCACTGGAGGAGCGCTTGCACTAGTTAAGGTCTGCCCCCTTGCACTCTTTTGTTTTCGGGCATTGATGATAAATTATTCGGTCTTAGATGTGGGCGGTATTGTTGACGCGTTGATGTTCTACATCTGACTTGTTGGTATTGGTGTCTTCTACTCGGTCCATAAATGACCACAACACGTGGATCAATGATTTTTCATTGTGGCTCTCAAGCATCAATTATCGATTTATCGTGTATGACGTCAATGCGAACGCTTGCATAGATGATGTTGGAATGGTTCACTTTGTTTCTCGTTACTGCACAAGAGGAGGAGGTAATTGTTTATATTGACAGCCAAGTATGTAAAATGGCCGATTCCTTCTGAGGCACTACTGATTGAGCTACCGTGGCTAGTAATTTAGTCTGTTGCCACATCACATTGCACCTCCCGAATTTATCCCATCAGGCAATCTCAGCCCGCATGCCACGTGCATAGGCTGACTGGAAGGGCATTTGGAACTTTCGGCAGTCCAGGTACAAGGACGTGGTTTTCACTGGGTAAGACAGGGAGTTACCTTGCAGAGGAGAAGTTTGACCTATGCCGTGCTGAAGGCTTTGTCCACATTCAGGAAACCCTCATCATTGTCGGAATCATCGTGGAAGTTAGATAGTGCAGAACTAAGCCACCATGGGAATGAAGTGTGTGATTTCAGGTGTGACATACTAGTCATGAATGCAACAGCATTTTGTCAATTGGAAGTTGAACAGATTCTGGCACTACGTATTGTCCGAACCAAGTATTGTTTATGGCTTTGATAGTTTTGCTTGTAACACCATGGCTTTATATATTTCTGTTTTGAGAGAGAGAGAGAGAGAGAGAGAGATTGGAGTCAAGTAAATTGCCAATTTAGCCTTGGCTTCAGTTGCTGTAATTAGCATCCATTAACCCTTGCATTACCAACACTTTCTTTAGCATGATACATAAATAGTTCTTTGACTATGTTTTGGTAACACCAGAGTTTCTGATTCTGCACAACAGTTTTGTAACTTGAAAACATAGGTATGTGATGTCAGTCCATATCCTGTTCTGTGTTAATGCTAATTTAAAAATGCTTTGAATTATTGCCATATGTAGCGTAGCAAGTTAAGCAACTGCTCTGGACATACCTTGTGGGGAGGGATGCTCATTGAGGTACAGAGCTCTTGTATGCAAAGAAGAAAGGTGTAAAACACAAGAATTTACAAAGTAAAGAGTATTCTCTGGTATTGGAAGTCACTTTAACACAGTTTACATCCTTGGTGCAGGGTGTACCTGCTGGAATTATACTGATTTTAGAGCTGGAAAATAATTTTCTCTTTTATGTACGCTGGAAAAGGCAGGCAGCGCAGTTACTTATATAAA